GAAACAACGTCCTCTACAACTAGACTGAAGAACAAAAGGACAGCAACTTGTCTGTTCCCCTTTCCCCAATTCCCCAGTGCTGTTTCCATCCCCCCAATTCTCCAATAAAGATTAAAAAAAAAAAAAAAGTTAGATGAAACAGCCTGAACTTTTCGCCAACAATTCATGGCTCTTGGATCACGACAGTACACCAGCTCACGTGATACTGTCTGTGAGGGAGTTTTTAGCCAGTAAACAAATAACTGTATTGGAACACCCTTTCTACTCACCTGATCTGGCCCCCAATGACTTCTTTCTTTACCTGAAGATAAAGGGAATATTGAAAGGAAGACTTTTTGATGACTTTCAGGACATCAAGGGTAATACTACCACAGGCCTGATGGCCATTTCAGAAAAAGAGTTCCAAAATTGCTTTGAAGGGTGGACTAAGCGCTGGCATTGGTGCATAGCTTCCCAAAGGGAGTACTTCAAGGGTGACTGTAGTGATATTCAGCAGTGAGATATGTAGCACTTTTTCTAGGATGAGCTCGTGGACTTAATTATCTGACCTCATATACATTAAAGGTATACAGTACAGATTTAAATTTGCTTTTCTCTGTAAATTCATCTAGAATTCCTGCTATTTTAAAATGAATATTAAAAACCGTTTTCCTAGAAATATTTATTGTTCTCAAAAAATATGTTCATTATTTAAACAGAAAAGGTCAAATGCACAACAGATTTTAAGCCTGTTAAATCTGTGTGTTATGTGCTATGTTCTATATGCCATGATGTCCATGATTTGAAAGCAAGTGGGAATAATACATGGTTCCTACCTTTCTGTTTAAATGAACATAAATTTTAGAAGGAATAAACAAATAGAATAATTAAATAAAATTAAATAACACATACTTAAACCAAAGAGTGAAGTATTTTAGAACGTTGATAGATATATTTTTATTCTGTATTCTTTGGGCAATTTTTCAGTGAATCCCACTCACCAGCATTTTTTACCTAGATACTGTGCCAACATACTTCCCCAAAGTTATATTAGATATATGGGCTCCTATTTAAACATATTTTTCAACTTTTGCATTGTATTCAATTCCCTTTTACCTCATGAGACGTTGATTTAGCAATTCTTTCTTTCTCCTTTGTCAACAATTTTTGGCTATTTTTTTTGGATTGTTCCCATCAGTGTTATTTCTCTCAACTTAAAAAAAACCCCAAAAAACTCTTGAACCTACTTTCCCTTCTACCTCCTGCCCATTTCTTTGTTTCCCTTTATAGGGAACTGCTCAACTGCTAAACTGCTCAAAAATGTTGTCCATTGTAGAAGAGCTTAATATGTACACTATCTCCAGTTGTTTTTTACCCACTTTTTCTTTAACCACTCCAAACAGGCTATTGCTTTCAACATAACATGAAACTGGTGTTGTCAAGGTCACCAGAGACGTGTGTATTCCCAGGTCTAGTGTACAATCACCAGTCCTCATGTTGCCTAAGCTCCTAACATTTAACACAGATCCCTCCTTGATACAGTTATTTGAATTGACTTCCAAGATACCTCACCATCTTGTTTTTTCTTTCTGTCTCAATGTTCTCAGTTTCATTTGTTGGTTCCTTGTCTTCTTCTCAACTGCTTAGTATTGGGTGCCTTGAGGCTCTAGTCTCCTCTCTGTTTCAGTTTTATGATTTTAAAAACCACATATATGCCAAAAGTTTCTAGAAATACGTCTACAGACAGATTTTTGTCCTAAACTCCAGACTTGTATATACAGCTGCATACACAAAATCTTTGCTCAGATGTCTAAAAGATTTCTTAAACTTTATATGCATATGAGGTCTGACAATTAAGTTTGCGAACTCATCCTAGAGACAGTGCTACATACCTCATTGCTGAATATCACTACAGTCACCTTTGAAGTGCTCCTCTTGGGAAGCTATGCACCGACACCAGCGCCGAGTCCACCGTTCAAAGCAATTTTGGAACTCTTTACCTGGAATGGCCATCAGAGCTGTTGTCATATTACCCTTGATGCCCTCAGTGTCATCAAAATGTCTTCCTTTCAATATTTTCTTTATCTTCGAGTAAAGAAAGAAGTCATTGGGGGCCAGATCAGGTGAGTAGGGAGAGTGTTCCAAAACAGTTATTTGTTTACTGGCTAAAAACTCCCTCACAGACAGTGCCATGTGAGCTGGTGCGCTGTCATGATGCAAGAGCCATGAATTGTTGGTGAAAAGTTCAGGTCGTCTAACTTTTTCATCAGCCTTTTCAGCACTTCCAAATAGTAAACTTGGTTAACTGTCCAGTTGGTACAAATTCATAATGAATAATCCCTGTATCAAAGAAGGTCAGCAACATCGTTGCAACAAAATTCACAAACTTAATTGTCAGACCTTGTACATAAAACCCAACTCCTGATCTCCTACTTAAACCTGCCTCCCCATTGGAGTTAATGACAACTACATCCTTCTAGTTGCTCAGGCCAAAAACTTTGAACTCCTTTTGATTATCTCTCTCTCACACCCTATATCTAATCCACCTAGAAGTTTTGTGCTGGCTCTACCTTCAGAACACACATAGAATCTGAGCACTTTTCACTATCTCACTGTTACCACCCTAGGCAGAACCATCACTGGCTTACTACGTTAAACTCCTAACACATTTTCCTGCTTCTGGCTGCCATCCCTTTTTTTCTTTTCCCCCATCCCAACATAATATATTCCTAACAAAGCTTAAGTCAGATCATGTCACTCGTCATCTCATAATCTTTCAGTGGTTCCTCGTCTCAGAATAAAACTCGAAGTCTTTATCCTACAAAGCTTTCCCATTATTTGGCCTTCCACTCTCTGTCCTACTTCACCTGCTACTGTTAACATGTTCTTAGTATGCCAGCCTCCTTGTTCTTCATATACTGCAAGCGTGCTCTGCTTTGTTGGAATCTTTGCTCTATCTGGTCCCTCTACTTGAAATGTTCGCCTGTTGTCTGCTGGATACCTCATCTCCTTTAAGGTTGTTGAAATCTCACCTTCTCCATGATACCACTGCCTGTTGACAACTCCATTTTAATACTGCAGTTCCCACCATTTTGCATACCCCAATACTTCAGAGCCACCTTATCTGGTCTACTTTTTCTTCTTTCAAAAGCATTTCACCTCCTAATATGTTAAAATATGTTAATTTACTATATTTACAATATTTTGTCTGTCACTCCTCAGCTAAAATAAAACTCCAGAAAGCAGAGATGTCCACTAATAATATTCCTAACACCTCGAATAGTGCTTAAATAAGAGTTTATTAAGTATTGGTTAAGTGAATTCATCTTTTAAAACTTGTGATGTACTTGTATATAACAGAGAATTGCAGATTTTTTCAAAGTTTTGTAATTCATGTAACAAACCAGTTAAAATGAAAATATATATTAATTAGTACCAATGATTTTTGCTTTCACATGTAAGTTCTGATGTGGTTTGGGAGACAAAGCCCAAGAAGAAGGCAAGATGGAAGCCAATGAGTATAAAGCAAACTGAGAAGTTAGAGAAAGAATTTAAGGAATATACTGAATCTTCACCTTCAGAAGATAAGGTTATTGAGTTGGACACTAACATTCCGGTAATATTTTTAAGTACTGACATGAACTTTTAATGTTTATCTGTTATAATTAGATTAATCACTAGTGAATTTTTTAAAAAAAGATTTTATTGGGGAATTGGGGAAGGAGAACAGTGGGGAATTGGGGAAGGGGAACAGCCAAGTTGTTGTCCTTCAGTCTTAGTTGTGGAGGGCGCAGCTAGCTCAGCTCCAAGTCCAGTCACCATCCGGCCTCCTGTCATCAGCTCACGGCCGCTCAGCTCAAGTTGCCATGTTCAATCTTAGTTGCAGGTGGGCATAGCCCACCATCCTATGCGGGAGTCCAACCGGCAACCTTGTTGTTAGGAACACATGCTCTCATCAGCTGAGCCATCCGGCCATCTATTGGCAATTCAGCGGCATCTCAGCTTGGGCACAGCTCATTGGCCCATGTGGGAATGGAAGCAGCGACCCTGTTGCTCAGAGCTCGCGCTCTTAACCAACTGAGCCACTTGGCCGGGCCACTAGTGAATTTTTACACAAGTTGGATTTCCTTACAAAAAAATGAATTGTCATACATACTTTATATAAAATATTTTAAAAGGATTAGTTATCTGTATTAAAAACGCAGATTTCTCTTGAGATGGTAATGCTATGTTCCCTGGTTACCAAGCCAATAAGTTGTTTTATTTATTTATTATTTATTTTATTTCAAAAATTATTTTATCTTTTATCACATTTTTGATAAACTTACAAAAACCATGATTACAACCAAGCTACGTGGAATATACGAATATTTTTGTTAATTGTATGGATATGGGCTATAAGGTTCTAAACCTGAACCTAATCAAATATTTAGTCTATTATTTGAATTTGTATTTTTTATGTTTTTTGGTGCAGTTTGTAATTTTAATCAATTATGAATAAAGAGAAATACCATGTTTTTTTTTGGGGGGGTGGCATGTTTTTCAGGTTCGCTTCACACCTAGTGGTAGTAATATGAAAATTCTGCAACCACATGAAATAGCTATACGAAGAAATTATCTTCCAGCATTAAAAGTGGAATATAACACATCTGCACATCAATCATTATTTAGAATTCAAATTTACAGAATACAGGTGAGTATGAAAAGACAGTCAAATATTCTAAAGGAACGTGGCAATAAGCTAATGTTTCCCCATGGTGTGTTTTATCTAGCACTTCAGTTTCCATGTGGGACAATACTTTTTGATTCCTTCTACTTCTTGAATCTTGTTATTCCACTCTGGTTTTAATTAACATATGAATATACTGACCTGTTTTTGGTTTTGTTTTTCATTTTCTTAGATCCAAAACCAGATACATGGTGCTGTATTTCCATTTGTGTTTTATCCTATTAAACCTCCCAAGTCGGTCACCATGGATTCAGGTTTGTCTGTACTTTTAGACCATAATAAAGGTTGTATGAACTATTTGGTTTATCTTACTATAAATATGTAAAATAAAACAGTTCTAGTCAACTAACTTCATCAAAACTCTGAGTGAATACTGAAGAAAAGATTGATTAGAAATATATATTTAAATTTTAAGGCATGTTAATTTTTAAAAATTAACTAATTTGTAAACTCCTTATTTAAAGTTACTGGTACCTTTGAATAAATTGTGAGGAAGCTCAGAGTGTTTTCTAACTACAGAAACTGTCCTGTATTTACCAGTAAGAATGACTGACAAGTCCTTCTGTCCTCTTCTGTCTTCCCTTTACTTTTCTTCTTTCTTTGCTATCCCTCTTCCCCTCTCTTTTCCCTTCTTACTATCCTACTTCTCTCCCCTCTCCTTTGGCTTTCCATCCCCACCTCCGTACCACTGCCTCTAAAGTCTCTATGGGGGCATTTGTAATCTGCTTGGAAGGGTTTTGACCAGTGTCCATGCCCAAGCCTTTCCACCTAGAAGTCTGGGACGAGACCCTGAAAGCTGTATTTTCACAAGTTTCCCTGATAATTCTAATGTCTTGCTTCTAGTTTAAAATAACTTATTTAAAGGATTACTTATCATTAAAGTGAATACAGATAATTTAGAAAAGCAATCCTGGAGTCTGAAATTAAGATTGTAACAGATCGTGTACATATTAATAATTTTAATTGACATTAAAATTACTGTCATTAATAGTAAAATTAATATCATTGCTACAAATATTAAAATTACTATGATTTAGTAAATAATTTCATTGACTATTGTGATGTATATTAAATAGCAAGAAAATGCTTATTTTCTTTTGTTTAAAGCATCACAGGTTTAATGATATTTATTCATCTTTACAGCACCAAAGCCCTTTACAGATGTCAGTATTGTCATGAGATCTGCAGGGCATTCCCAGATATCACGTATTAAGTAAGTTTCTTAATATGTTTCTTGTTTGTTCCATAATGTTTTGATTTAAGTATGTGAGTTAATTGTACTCTTTTAAAAAATAAATGTCAGGTGAATCAAATATTTAAGTGTAAAATATTAAGTTATAAAGATCATAGGAAAAATCTATTAATTACTTTGTAATCTTGGAGAATCAGAAGGCTCTGAATGAAAATATGCCTAGATATTAACAATAGTTGTTTCTAAATTATGGGTATTTTATTTTATTTTATTTTTGGTTTATTTGTTTTCTCTCTTAAGTTCTCTGTAATTACTGCATATTGTTTTCAAAATAGGAAAGAAAATCGTATTTTCAAATTCAGTCACAGCCCAGTCCAAGAAACATCCATTTCTGTATTAGTCCCCTATTTCTTGTTTCCTGTATCTTGTCACTAAGATAAACAATATCTTTATTCCCTTACTTTTTAAATTATAGTTTTACTGTATGTGTGTATTTAAACATTATGTTTCTTAGTTATTCTTTTTTTTTCCTAATTAAAAAATATTTTTTTCAAACTATACATAGACTCCTGGGACTTGCTTTTTTCATTAAACTTTTTACTAAAATTTATTCATTTTGTCGTATGTAGCTAGAGTTTATTCATAATGACTAATATATTCTGTTATATGACTATATTACCACAGTTTACTTAACGATTTCCTCTCTATAGGCATTTTCATACTTGAATAGTGTTGCCATGTCATTTATTGGATTATTATTCACTAATCTAGAAAGTTCTAAGTTTCAGCATTCTAATATTTATCTAATACTTTTTTCTCATCTAGTTTTCTTAAGCAATTAATTGAAGATCTTTAATGTTTTCTACTTGGTAATATAGGTACTTCAAAGTGTTGATACAAGAAATGGATCTCAGATTAGATCTTGGGTTTATCTACGCTTTAGCAGAACTTACGACAGAAGCTGAAGTAACTGAGAAAACGGAGGTAAGACAATAAAAAAACAGATGGAAAGGAATAGGGAAAGAGGGAGAAATAAGAAAAAAATGACATAAAATTTTAAAGGTATTAAAATAGTTTGCTTCATTTTAAGAGTATAATTTTTATTATGCTGCTGATTTCTACATTGGTAGAAATCACATTTTCAGTTTATAGAAGATGAAAGCAACACAGGTTAAGGTAGTCTTTTTAAAGTGAGTTAGCAAATAGGAGGAAAAGTTTTAAGCCAGTAGTAGGGGGAAGAAGATAGTCATGTTCCTATCATTGTTTTTTCCTATTTTACCTTCTTGGGTTACTTTTGTTTTATTAATAATTTAGAAATTTGGATCTGACCAGAATATTTGATGAGAGAAGGGATAAGGAAAATAAAAGATAGTATCTTATTTGTGACTGATGAAAAGACTGTAAAATCACAGTAAAAAGGTGGTTCAGATATGGTGTCTTTTTTCAACTGCCCTCATAGAAAGAATTCTTAGGATAAGACAAACTACCTGGATAAAGACAAGGGCAAATATACTTTTTTTTATTTAAATAATTTATTGAGATATATTTCACATACCATACATTTTACCCATTTAAATAGTGTACAACTCAGTGGTTGTTCATAGAATTAAATAACCATCACTTTTATCTCATTCCAAAATGTTTTTATCACCCCAAAAAGGAAACCATCCTAGAAACTTGCACCCACTAATGTACTCGTTGTTTTTAGGTTTTCCTATTCTAGACATTTCATATTAATGGAATCATGCACTATGTAGTCTTTTTAGATGGGCTTCTTTCACTTAACATAATGTTTTTAAGGTTTATCCATGTTGTAGTATCTATCAGTACTTCATTTTTATTTTTATAGCCAAGTAATGTTTTTTTGTATGGATATGCCACATTTTGTTTTTCTTTTTCCATTCATCTGTTAATGGACATTTGGGCTGTTTTCACATTTTGCCTGTAATGAATAATGCTGCTATAAATATTTGTATACAAAAAATTTATGTGGCCATATGTTATTATTTCTCTTGAATATATACCTAGGAGTGGAATTGCTAGGAATATGGTAACTCTGTTTAACCATTTCAGGACTGCCAGACAGTTTTCCATAGTGAAAACTATGGAACTACATTTCTCAGCAGAATGTATGAGGGTTCTGATTTCAACACATCCTCACCAACACTTGTTACTATTTGTCCTTTTGATTCTAGCCATCCTGGGGTGGGGAGAAATAGTATATCATTTTGTTTTGGATTTGCATTTGCTTGGTGAATAATGATGTTGAGAATCTTTTGATGTGTTAATTGACCATCTGCATATCTTCTGTAAAGAAATGTCTGTTCAGATACTTGGCCTGTCCTTTAACGGGTTGTCTTCTTTTTATGAATTGCAAAAGCTCTTCATATATTCTGAATACAAGTCCCATATCAGAAACATGATTTGCAAATATTTTTTCTCATTTTGTGTGTGTGCTTTACTTTCTTCATGTCTCTTGAAGCCCCAAAGTTTTTAATGTTAATGAAGTCCAAATTATTTAGTCGTTGCTTGTGTTTTAGTGTTATTTGTAAGAATCCTTTATAAAATCCAAGGTTATGAAGATTTAGCCATATATTCTAAGAGGTTTAAGTTTTACTCTTTACAATTAGGTCTTCCATCATTCTTAAGGTAATTTTTGCATATGGTGTGAGGTAAGAGTCCATCATCATCAGTCTTTAGCATTTGGCTATCTAATTGTCCCAGTATCATTTGAATGAAAATACTATTCATTCTCCATTAATGGTGTTGGTACCTTTTTTCAAATATCAGTTGACCATAGACACATGATTTTATTTCATTGATCTATGAGGTGGGATCAAACAATACAGTAAATGTTTAAATGAAAAAAAATTATTATGGTAAAAGACACATTGCCATTAATCCCCCTCAAAATACTTCCCCTTGCTTTGAACACACTTACTGCATTGTTCTTACCACTTTCTGAAGCAGTTCTGGAAATCCCCTTTCATGAGTGTCTTCAGTTGTGCTGTTATGGCTGCCTTGATGTCCTGAATCATTTTGACTTTGGGGGAATGTTCCAGATCCAGTGAATAAGATGGATGAGGACACACCATAATGTTTTTATTTGACAGAAATTGCCATATACCAGAAGCGATGTGTGATACGGTGCATTGTCATGATGGAGGATGATTTATGGCACAATTGAAAAACACACCTCTCAACTGTAGCTCACACCCAACTGACTGCACCGAATAAGTTGAAACTTGTCACACGCTGTTACTAAGGTTCGACACACTGCTTCCCATATTGAAGATCCCTGCCCTTCCATTGGATGGCACTCGGCAGCAGCATTCACCATAGTTTTTGATCACAACAGAAAGGCTCCATGTCACAAATCGCTGCTGGTACAGCAATTTCTATTAAATAAAAACATTGCCGTTTACGTCCTCATTCACCGTATTCACAGGATCTGGCACCATGCAACTTCTGGCTCTTCCCCAAAGTCAAAATGAAAGGTAAATGTTTTAAATAGATTCAGGACATCAAGGCGGCCACAACAGTGCATCTAAAGACACAAAAGAGGACTTCCAGAACTGCTTCAGAAAGTGGCAAGAAAAGCAGGATAAGTGTGTTCGAAGCGAGGAGGAGTTTGAGGGGGATTAATGGCAATGTGTCTTTTACTGTAATAAATTTTTTTTTAATTTAAACGTTCATGTATTTTTTGCTCACACCTCGTATATGTCCATTTTTGTGTCAGTACCACACTGTCTTCATTACTGTTGTTTTCTAGTAAGTTTTGAAATTTAGAAGTATGAATCCTACTGTGTTCTTTTCCAAGACTGTTTTGGCTTTTTGGGTCCCTTTGCAATTTCATACGAATTTTAGAATCAGCTTGTCAACTTCACAAGTTGGAGGTCTAGCGAGGATTACATTGAATCTATAGATCAATTTGAGGGGTATTGCCATCTTAACAGTATTAGGGCTTCTGATACTTGAACATGGAATATTTTTCATTTATGTAGATCTTTGTTTTTTTCAATGATGATTTATACTTTTCAAAATACAAGTTTTGCACGGCTTTTGTTCAATTTCTTTGTATTTTATTTATAGTATTATGAGCAAAATTGTTTTCTTACTCATTTTTGGTTTGTTCATTGAAGCATATAGAAATGTAATTTTTGTTTATTGATCTTGTATTTTGTAACTTTATTGAACGTGTTTATTAGCTCTAATAGTTCTTTTGTGGATTCTTTAAGGTTTTCTTTATATGAGGTCATGTCTGAAAATAAAGGTAGTTTTACTTCTTCCTCTAATATGAATACCTTTTGTTTCCTTTTCTTGCCTAATTGCTCTGCTAGAACCTTTAGTACACCTTGAATAGAATTACAAAGAACAGACATTTTTGCTTTGTTTCTGACCTTAGAGGGAAAACTTGCAGTCTTTCTCCATTAATTATGATGTCAATGGTGGATTTTATAGATGCCCTATTTCAGGTTGAGTTCTATTCCTAGTTTGGGTAGCATTTTTATCATGAAAGTGTGTTGAAATTTGTCAAATGCTTTCTCTGTGTGTGTTGGAATTATCATGTGGTTTTTTTGTTCTATTGATAGGTTACATTACATTGGATGTTATAACAATCTTTTATACCTGGGATAAATCTCACTTGATCTTTTGTATAATTTTTTTATATATTTTTCTGGATTTGGTTTGCTAGAATTTTGATGAGGATTTATGTTATTCATATTCATAAGAGAGATTGATTCACTATAGACCCAACAATATATGATATATATTATTTATTTAATGGCTTTTTAAAACAGTTAAGAGAAGAAAGGGAAAAACCTAAGTATTGATACTGCCTTTTATAATTAATAATTACCTTTACTAGTGCTTTTTAAAAAAAATTTGGATTCTAATTACCATTTGAAATCACTTGCGTTTTAGGCTGAGGAACTTCTGTTAGTATTTCTTGTAAGTTGACCTGCTAGCTACAGAGTCTCTGTTTTTTTAAATTTGGGAATGTCTTTATATCCCTTCTTGAAAAGTAGTTATGCTGGATATAGGATTCTTGCTTGATAGGTTTTTTTTTTTCCTTTGAACACTTTGAATGTGTATTTCTACTACCTTCTTCCCCCCCTTGTTTTTAAGAAGTCAACTATTAATCTTACTGGGGTCTTCTTGTATGTATAATATGTCACTTTTTTCTTCTTGTTTTTAAGACTTTTTTTCCTGGTCTTTGACTTGCAGCATTTTTATTGTTATATATCTGTTTGTGAACATCTTTTCATTTATTGCACTTGGAGTTCCTTGAGTTTCCTGGATATGTAGCTGGCTGATTGCTAATTGCTGGCCGATTGCTATTTTTTAAAAAAATGCCTCAGAGCCAAAATTGCTCTGTAGACTAATCAAATTTGGGCTTCTTTGAAGCTATTGTTCTGGAGATCAGAGTTTGATATTTGTTCTGAGCCCAGGAGGACTCCTTAAGTTGCCTGTTTCCCCAGTTCTGTCATGAAAACTGAGACCTACAGTTTAGCCTGTATCTTCATCTTCACTGAATCAATGATTTTCCTCCCAGTTGCCTTTCACCATAGCATCCACCATTTCTTAAAACACTTGGACTTGAAGTTCTTCACACTGTTGTAAATGAAGTCAGTTTCTTTCAGAAGAGATTAGGAACTATCTGTTTTAAAATCTGTACCCACCCCCCCCCACCCCCAGGTAAAATCTGAACCTGAGCTTTGGAGCTGGAAGTGGGGCAAGGGTGATCAGAACCTATTCTTAGTGGTGTCACACCCAAGTAGAACTTTTGCTCCAGGAGTGGAGGCTGGGCAGAAGAAAGAAGTTTCCCCCTTTTCTATAACTTAACGTTATCAGGTGGTAGCTGCGGTCACCATGGAAGTGCTGACATCCTGTGCCTCCCAGGAAGAAAGTCCTCCAGTTGGAGTCTGGGCTGAGAGGGAGCTCTGTGTTCTTGGGTGTACCAGTCTATAGTGGAATTCTGGCTTATTGATCTGGGAGGGGAAATTGAGAGAATGGTCCTTGTTTAAAAGTCACCGACTGATTTTTCTTACCAAATTTTTGTAGATTTTCTTAAATAGATGTTTCATTTGCTTATACCCTTAGTACCATATATAGAGGCCTTAAATGTTTGGGTTTTTAAAAAAAATAAATCTCACCAGTTTCACTGGGGAGATGGTCCAAAGAACTCCTCACACTCATCCCAGAAGCCAGTTTCTATATGTACTTTCAGTAAGTCTGTCATTTTGATGTTTTTATTAATAGGTTAAAATTTGAATGTTGGGCCATTTCTTAACACAGAAGTAACTTAGATTTGTGAGTGTATGGAAGAGAAGTAATGTTGATTATCAAGAATAAAAGCACTAATAACTTCATGCAAAATTATTTTCAGTGCTTTTTCCCTTTTTAATTACATTCCTGGCCTCTATAGATATCAGTAAGGCATTTAGCAAAAAGCTACAAGTGGACAATGATTGTACTTTAAAAAACCCAAATATTCCTTAAAAAGTGTTGATGGATCAGATTAGTAGCCTTTTAGAATAAAAGCTATATTCACAGGAATAAAAGCTTAGTGTCCTTTAATGGACTGAATAGAAACATAGAAGATATGCTTGTCAGTTTGTGAACTTTCCAAACAGTAGGGATGTTAGTTTCCCTTCTAAGGCAGCAGCTTTCCAATCATGAATAATGTTGGATCTGGATTTTATAGGAAAGTGTGAGCTTTTTTAGCTCCAATATATCATGAAGTTAGGTCCCTTAAGTTTTTAACATTTTATGTTCCTTTATAGGTTGAACTTTTTCATAAAGATATAGAAGCTTTCCAAGAAGAATATAAAACAGTTTCATTAGTAGATTCATCACAAGTCAGTCTCTATGAATACTTTCACATATCTCCTCTCAAGGTAAGGGAAAAATAAGTTTATTATCCTTGATAATCTAGGTAAATAGCAAATTGACTGGATCTGTTGGGGGGATATAGTATTTATATTATGTTCTTTAATAGTATATAAATTCTGTAACTTCGCTGTTACAAATATAAATAAATAACAAAGCAATAATCCTTTTAAACATTTATTCTTATAATAATTTTCACCATATGGAAATAATAATGGAGCCATCTACAGCATATGTTTATATGTTTATGTCTTGACCTAACATTATGTTACCTTAGTTTTTTGTTAACGTGTTTAATGACAATTTTCAAAATTTTGTGTATGATGTATGAATGAGTTTTTCTTTTCATTGAGTTATAATTGACATAACATTTATTTGAGGTGTACAATGTAATGATTCGATATTTGTATATACTGCGAAATGATCATCACAATAAGTTTAGTTACCATCTGTTACTATATAGTATTACAAAATTTTTTTTCTTCTGCTAAGAGCTTTTAAGATTTGCTCTTAGCAACTTTCAGATAATATTGCAATACAGTATTATTAACTACAGTGTATAAGTTTTAAATTAATTTATAAAGTAATCTTGATTTAAAATTTGAAGATTGAATGGAACTAAATATAAGTTCTGAATACAAAGTTTCTGAATTATTTACATAATACTTGAAGAAAATTATTGACAACTATCTATACAATCTGTATATACATACAATACAAAAGTGCTTTTTAGCTGGCTTCATCCTGCTAACTTAATTCTAGTATTTGAAACATTCATTTTTGGAGATATTTAAGTTATTTTCAACAACTTCAACTTCTAGATTATTATTAAAAACATATAAAAGTTAATATTTTCTTAGGTTTAGCAAAAGAATTGGATTGAACTACGGTAAATACCATATCATCTTATATTGCTGAATTTAAAATTTAAAAAGAACTGTATTATATTTTAAACTTCTTTAATTTTCCACATATTAATTTTGGCATAATCCTGATAATTTTGACATCTTTTCTATGGTAGATGTTTAAAATAAAATTGAATTTTAAAAGTTAAAATTGTCATTATGAAGATAGTGATTTAAATTTTTTATTTCTTTAGTTGCATTTAAGTGTTTCACTGAGTTCGGGTAAAGAAGAAGCTAAAGATTCAGAACAACATGGAGGACTGATTGCAATTCGTTCTTTAAATCTTTTGCTGAAGAGTATTGGTGCCACGCTTACAGATGTACAAGATGTAGTTTTTAAGTATGTTTAATATTGATGAAAAGTCCATTTTATATTTACCTAAAAATTTTATAAGTGAAAAAGTATAGAGTACATTACAGATCATAGGCAAAATATGGTTTTTGCTATTGAATGGAATATTATTTAAGTAACATATCTGTTAACCCTTTACTATTAAATAACAGATTGATTATTAAATAACTTCCTTAAGAAAGAGGATCAGTCACCATGCATGTTTGCACATCATTTTAAGGCCTTTTAGGGCCAGGGAAGGAATCCTAAGAAGTTATGTATGCCCAAAGGTGTGGTATTTAAAAGATGTGGTGCTTAAGAGATGTGTCTTCAAGGCCTCTGAGATTCTTGATAGGGGAAATGAAGGGATCAGTTTAATTGTTACAGTTAAGAATTTACATTTTAATGTAAGTCATAATGGGAGCTATTAGAGTACCTGACCAAAGAGATTCAGAGTCTGAGTGTAGATTTTAGATGAGAATGACCTTTTCAGGTAGCACCTAGAACAGTATTTAAGAAGAGTAGTAAGAATCAATGAGTCCAATAAGAGGTAACTTGCAATCTGGATAAAGTTAAATAACAGTCATATTAAAGAACATAGGTTTGAGGATACCCAGAATAAAATGAGATGTCTAATCTTGCTGCTGTCTTATCTGCTAGCATAGAGCATCCCACTTAGTCAATTGGGTATATGCTGTGAAGAGGTTAGAAGTAAACTTACCATGATTCATCAGCTGTCTGCAGCAGGCAGGACTGCAGCAACTGAACCCTGGCCATTCTTCAACAATTTCTTCCCCTTATCTCAGTGTGTCAAACATGTGGTCCATGATAGGACAGAGTTGACAAATAGAAGTTCATGTTCATGCGTGGGATCCAAGGGCTCTCTGAATCCCCTAAGTTATGTGGAAAATATGTATATATCAGTGGCTTTTCTGAGGGTAAGATCCATAGCTTTTATCAGATTCTATAGCTTTCTTTGACCAGAATGTACAGGGATGCATGTAAAAGAGTAGATTTTTTGATTGGCATGGGAAAATGTGCTAAAAGGAAAGATTTGGAGAAAAAGTCTAAAGAAAATAAAACCATTCATTAATATTAAAAACTCTCTTTCTCCCCAGTGCACGTGCACGGATACACGTGCACATACACACACATATTTATACATTTGTATGTTGTTTTACAGGCTTGCATTTTTTGAACTCAACTATCAGTTTCATACAACATCCGAACTACAGTCTGAAGTAATAAGACACTATTCAAAACAGGTTTGTCTGAGATTATTTTACGAAGAGAGAGTGACAGAAAATAGTGAAATCACATGTGTCTGTAATGTATAATATAGATTTGGCAAGGAAGGTAATAGCCATTTTCAAAATTTTAAAACATTTTTTTATTTTTAGAATTGTAGAAATAAATTGAGCCTAATCATTTCAAGTTTTTGTCCTGTTTTTCAGCCATTGACCGAAATCTTTTCTGGATCAGTGTAGACTAGACATAAATCTTTAAATAAAATATTAACTAAGTAATTCACCACACCTACTTAAAAAATAGGTTCAAGAGAAACAATTTATTAGTAACTGACGAACACAGGATATTTTTAATGTAATTAAGTTGTTGAGTCTGGTAGATATATTAGTTTAATTGATTTTTTCCACCTCTGGAAAGCTCCTATATTTTATGACATAACTTATAAAGCATCTGAGACAAATGTTGCAGAGTGAACAGATCACTGAGTGTGACTCAAGATCTGGGTTTGGATCCCAGTTTGTCCATTTACCACCGTATGACCCTGGGCACCTGTATGTTACCTCCAGTCTGTGAAATGGTGGTGATTCTACCAACTGTCACACATAGTTGTACAAGTGAAAGTATTTTGAATATTCTAAAGCTTTATGTATATGTGTCATTATTTTGAATACTCTAACACCAAATTGCTTTTTAAAAACTAGGACTAGTAATGAATAAGGTGATATATGGTTTAGGTGTTGAAATTGGTGATAAGGGTGTAAGCCTGAAAAACTGGACTTGTGTACTGAATATAAGAAAAAATATTAAGTCTGATTATCCAAATTGATTAATGTTTATATTTCATTTTTAGGCCATTAAGCAGATGTATGTACTCATTCTTGGACTTGACGTTTTGGGAAATCCCTTTGGCTTGATTAGAGAATTTTCTGAAGGTGTAGAAGCATTTTTTTATGAACCTTACCAGGTAAAATCGTTACCCTTGCATTGTGCAACATATCACACTAATACTTTTGAATAAATAATGCGTTCCAGTTGTTAACTTGAGTTGTAGGTATAAATAGATTTTGGGGGAGACACACAAAAGAATATTATTTTGCAGCAAACAGTGGTAAGAGTTTTTGAGAAATTTGGGGGGCAATTTTTACCTGTTTCTCCCACAACTTAAAACTTAAGATTTTATAAAGCTATACTGAATTTTAAGTGTTGTCTTGGAATATTAAAGGTGGATAAACTTCACACTGTACTAGAAGCAACATTACCATGGACAGGGAGTATTGCTTTGCACAATAGTGTGGGACAGTAAAAATAACCATGAAAGCTGCCACTGTACCAAGCAATCTTAATGGCAAAAATTATGATTGTTTTATGTCCCTTAAAAATTTCTGTCAAAACACTTGAGACTTTGCTACTTTCACTTATAAGTGTAGATGATAATGAAAAACAAAGTAAAACTTTTGTACACTGTAATTTAAAACGTTAGCTATATTAACAAAGTGTTTTTATTTTTTTTTTTAATTATAAAGAGCAGTTTGTGTTCGTCTTCTCATCATATAACTTACAATACTGAACCAACATCTTTTGTACACTATGGTGAATAGACATACTCCTTTCTAAGTTTGGAGTAACTTCTAACATTTCTTCCTTTGCACTTCCAACGTCATGAAATATCTTTGAGACTTGTGTTAATGTGAAGTCTTTTTTTTGTTTTTTGTGTTTTTTTTTTAAAAGATTTTTTATTGGGGAATTGGGGAGGGAGAACAGTGTTGGGGATTTGGGGAAGGGGAACAGCCAAGTTGTTGTCCTTCAGTCCTAGTTGTGGAGGGCGCAGCTAGCTCAGCTCCAAATCCAACTTCCATCCAGCCGCCCGACAGCAGCTCACGGCTGCTCAGCTCAAGGTGCCATGCTCAATCTTAGTTGCAGGTGGGTTTAGCCACCATCCCATGTGGGAGTTGAACCAGAAACCTTGTTGTCAGGAACACATGCTCTCACCAGCTGAGCCATGCTGCCACCTGTTGGCAGCTCAGCAGCAGCTCAGCTCGGGTACAGCTCACTGGTCCATGTGGGAATTGAACCGGTGACTCTGTTCTTCAGAGCTTGAGCTCTTAACCAACTGAGCCACTTGGCCGGCCCAATGTGAATTTTTTTGCTAGTGTCACTGCCTCTGGGACATCTTTTTTTTTTTCTTTGTCACTTCCATTTTCCTTATGTCAGTAAGTTCACCTTTAAAAGCAAACAAAATTTTATTTGTTGTTTTATTTTTTAATTTTTATTAAATTTATGGGGTGACATTGGTTAGTAAAATTATATGTTTTAAGTGTACAATTCTATAGTACATTATCTAACTATTGCATTGTGTGTTCTGTTGTTATTATTTTTGACCCTTTAGGGAGCCATCCAGGGCCCTGAAGAGTTTGTGGAGGGAATGGCACTAGGACTGAAAGCGTTAGTTGGTGGAGCTGTTGGTAAGAAAGAAAATACCTCCCAAGTATGATTATGCTAGGAAATAGTGATATATTTTCTTTTACTAAAGATGTTATAATTTCTGCTAGGTGGATTAGCTGGTGCTGCCTCCAAAATCACCAGTGCTATGGCTAAAGGGGTAGCAGCTATGACTATGGATGAAGACTACCAACAGAAGAGAAGAGAAGCCATGAATAAGCAACCAGCTGGTCTTAGAGAAGGCATCACCCGTGGAGGAAAAGGCTTAGTTTCTGTAAGACATTTCCCAGTGTTGTGAACATTATAGAAATATCTTTTAACATTATAGGAAATACCTTTTAAAGCCACAGTCTGTGAATAAGGAAATAGACATATGACTTTCACTCCTTCAAGTATTATTTGGGTGTTGGAAGAACAGTGGGTAAACAGCCTCCAAAAGCATTCTGTTCAAGTAAAATACTTAGGAAATACGTTAATTGTTATAGTATCTAGGGAGCAGAACTTGGTATTTTTTTGGTAAGCCTTGAAGATGTCTCTTCAAGGCATCATGTAAAAATATTGTAAATTTGCTATTGTGCTTTCCTTTTAGGGTTTTGTAAGTGGCATAACAGGAATTGTTACAAAACCAATCAAAGGCAAGTATAATAGTTCCTTTGGGTGATATATATATTACCAAGTTGTTCACAAGTTGATTCTATTTTCAGTCTTGATCTCATTGTCTAAAACTGTGTTTTTCTTTTTTAGGAGCTCAAAAAGAAGGGGCAGCTGGTTTCTTTAAAGGTGTTGGGAAAGGTTTAGTTGGAGCAGTGGCGAGGCCAACTGGAGGCATCATAGACATGGCTAGCAGCACATTTCAGGGAATAAAAAGGTAAATTCTCTGTGATGTAGGATATGAGTAAAATGCTTCAACCATGAAAAATGAAATCTGTTGTTTTGTTCGAGACACTTAGTTATGAATCCTGTCATATAGCAAGTTACATATGATCTTCCTAATTCCTTTTGTTTCCATTGCATCATTTCAACTTGAAAGAGTTCTCCTTTATTCGTTGTTCATTCCCAGCAGCCTTGGGAGGATAGGTTTGGCAAGCAAACTTTTCTATTATCTCGATCAAAATATATTACAATAATGTAATGCTATATGTCAGTCACAAAATTAGCAAATATATAGTAGTCTGTCTCCTTTCTTGGGAAATAAAGAATGGCATTTTGTATTTCTAGTTCAAACTCAGCTGTGTTCACCCTTCCTTTATGATCTTCTTATTTTGTTATGAGATTATTATATCCATTTCCTCTATTTGTCTTTTTTTGCACAATTTTAAACATGTCCTCTCTTCTTCCAAATGAAATTTTGCTTAAGACTGAAATTTAATATTTGCATTATTGTTACCTCTATTTTAGAAATTTGCAACACACACAATTGATCAATTTCATGCTAATGAGAAATAATTTAGAAAGTTAGGTGGGTGTTATCTCCTTAACTTGTTTCCTTTTGTATTTTCTCTTGCTTCCTGGTGTATATAGATAGTATTGTCATCATATGAGCTTTTCTTCTTAAGTCATAATGGGGTGTTTCCAATTTTATAGTTTAGAAATAAGACTGGAAAAAAGTTTCAGTCTCTTCTGCTTGTAACTTTAGTTGCACAAATATAACGTTTGAGTCACAGTCATCAGAGAAACTTAAAAGTCAATGAAACATAAAGAATTCAAAATATATAGAGAGATATGCAAGCATCTGGCCAGAACTCTAGAATAACCAACTATATATTTATCTAAAACCTTGTAATCTATACCCAGCTACATTACCTTTAAGTATTAAGGGCAAAATAAAATATTTTTAGAAAAATAAGACTAAGAACTAATAAAGGATGTACTTGTGAAGAAGGACATTGAAAGCAGAAAGGAGAAATGGGTTACAAGAATCAAATGTAAGAATATAAACTGGTAGATAAATATAATTGAACTGTATAAAACATTAGAACCAAAATATTAAAAATAGTAAGATACAGTTTGAGAGGGGAATGATTGGCATTAAACATTTTAATATATTATTTCTGATGACGGTATACCATATATCATATATACCATATATGCTATATATACTATGAAGAGGATTACTATATAACATTAGATGAAACAGACATTAAGGCAAAAAAGCATTATTTGGGGTAAATAAGATAACTAGCTAATGATAAAAAGAACAGTTAACCAAGAAGATAATAACAATTTTGAACTTGTACTCAACTCACAATAAACTCAATGTTTATAAAACAAAAATTGACAAAATTATAAGAACTTTTCAAACCTTAAATAATAATGGAAAAATCTAACATTTCTCTCAGTTATTGATAGATCAAGAAGATAAAATGAAAGTAAGTAAAATGATTTGAAAACACTTAACAAGCTTGATCTAATACACATATATAAATATTTATCGATTCAGCACATTTTAGGGAGCATCTTGTATGTCTAGACACTCGGAATCAGAAATGAACACTATTGGCAAAGTCCCTATCATCATACAGCTTACATTCTAGTGGGAGAGTAATAGACGAAAATAAGTAAATGATAAACGCATGACATGTTAAGTGTTGAAAAATTCTATGAAAAGAATTGAAGCTGAGAAGAGATAAAGAGATCCAAAATGGTAGAGATGAAGGTTGCTATTTTATACATACGATGTTCAGGGAAGCTTCACTGGTAAGATTAAATTTGAGGAGAGACATGAAGGACATAAGGGAGTGAGTCCTGTGGGAAGAACGTCCCAGGCAGTAGCAACAGCAAGTAAAAAGCACTGGTGCAGGAGTATGGTTGGCCTGTTGAAGGAACAGCACAACCAGTGCACCTGGGGTAGAGTGAGCAAAGGAGAAAGCTGTAAAAGAAGCTCTGTGAGAATGAGCAGGGGTTCACATCACACAGGACTTGGTAAGCCACTGTAAGGACTTGGGCTTCTTTTTGTTTAAGACAGAAAACTTTTAAGAGATTTTGGACAAGAGGAATGATGTGAGCTGGTTGCTATATTGAGAATAAATCACATGGGACCAGGACAACAACTGGGGAACACTTAAGAGACTTTTGCAATAATCCAGATGAGAGATGATAGTGATTAACCCAGTATAGGCTAAAAGTTGTAAGAAGGATTCATGTTCAGCATGCATTTTGAAGGTAGTGGTAACAGGATTAGTTGATAAATTGGCTGTGGGATAGGAAAGAAAGAGAATCATCAAGGATATTTCTAAAGTTTTTATCTGAACCACTGGAAGGATGGGGTTGTCATTCCTTTTAGAGAAAGAGGGAATTAGAAGTTTTGTTTTGAATGTATTAAGCTTAAACCTTCAGACATACAAATGGAGATGTCAAGTAGTTATTGAGTATAGGAGTCTATGTTCAAGTGAAATTCCAAGCTAAAGTTAAAAGTTTGAGATTCTATGAGCCTATAATAGGGTATTTAAAGCCATAAGATTAGATGAGCTCATCCAGGGAATGAGAGTGGAAGAGACAAAAGAAAGGTCCAAGACTTGTCACTCAGTCACACAACACTTAGTAGTTGGGGAAACAAGGAGGACCCAGCAAAGGAGACTAAAAAGGGATCACCATTAAAGTCAGGGGGATAATCAAGAAAGCCATGTTCCAAAGGCCAAGAAACAGACCACCCTGGCTTATACTACTGGTTACACAAAAAGAGAAATCTGCCCCCACCACCAGTCATCTTGCGCGTATATGAGAGGATTGATTTATAAAATGGGAGAGGGAGGTGGAGGGGGTATGACCAGATGTTTTTTTCAGGTCTCTTTTGTGGTTCATTTAGAATCGAGAAAAAGAAACGACAAATTGCAAAAAAACAACAACAAAAAAAACTAGTATCTGTATATCTGTACTTCATGGAGAACTCAAAAGCTTTCTCTTTAAAGTTAGGAATGAAACAGGATGCTGCAATCCTCTCTTGTATTTAACACTGTTCTGTTGGAATGAGAATCATAGGAAAAGAACAAGTTAAAGGTCTTAAATCAGAAAAGAAAAGGCAACAGTATTCATTATTTGCTGATTCTCTGATTATCATTTACAGAGAAAGTCCAAGAGACTCTATGAACATACTTCTTTACAGTTCTACATTTTTATAGCAAATTTATATTATGTGTCATAAACACAAATTTTAAAATAGAGAATTGATGTAGCAGTTTTATTTTGTCCAAAAGAAGATCCTTTTTAGTCATTGCATTTTAAAGTCTACTTACGAATTTTTAAATAAATTTAAAAATCACATTCTATATTTTTTCCTTCTAGGGCTACTGAGACTTCAGATGAAGTGGAAAGTCTGCGACCCCCTCGGTTCTTTAATGAAGATGGAGTTATCAGACCTTATAGGTTGAGGGATGGTACTGGAAATCAAATGTTACAGGTGAGTGAAGAATACCTTACAAATTAAGATTAATTTAGTTAAGTTAGCTTTTTAAAAGGTAACTATATAATGCTTTAAATATTTATTAAAGTATTTGAGCTTCTTTATGTTTTGCTTAATTCCATTTATAAATTTCTTACATTTTTACTATAAGATTTTTATTTTACAGGCATCAAAAAGTTTGATATGAAATAGTTAATGCATGACTTTGCAAGTGAAAACCAACAGTAGATTTTAGTCTTAAAATTTACAAACTACATACAGCTGTTTCAGTATTTTGAATACAAAAAAACCTTTTGTATTGATAACTTTTTTTGTATAGGATTTTTAGTGAATCAGATCTTTTTATAGGGTATTCTTAGTTCTGTACTGGGTTTTTTAGATTTGTTGAAAGCCATTGTACCTATGTTCGTACCCTCATTGTTGGTGGTACTTTTTAGCCAGGTAGACCATTCAGTTTAGGGTACTTCCTTCTCCTTATCAAACCACTAGCAGCTCTTCAACCAGATATAATTCTCATGTATAATTAGGCATGGATAAGGAAAAAATCAGGACCATTGCTATTGTGAATTCTTGGGTTCTTACTCTTTTCTTTTGAAGATGCTCAGTTGGTCATAACCCTATTCCTGCTTTGTGCTTCTATAGTCTGTTTAAAACCTTGTGGAATTTCATAAGCAGTTCACATGAAAGCTAATATCCTTTAGTAAAGAAAATAAGCTTTTGGAACAACAGACAGTTTGAAGGTAGAGGTAGACTATTTTATCTGTTTAGACAACTTTCTTACTTAGTAAATTGGACTTCTAAATAAAATTTGGATTATGGTATAGGTAATATATACCATAATAGGTTATACCAATTTAAAGTAGTTTGTATGGTTTAGATGTGGAACACTAAATTATTTTTTGAAAACAAACAATGAGTCATTATGTTGTATAGACTTGAAAATATTCAAGGTAATAATAAACTGGGGGAATATGGTCCTTTATAGTCTTGAAATTTTAAGTATTGTGTTTAAAGTGATCAGGGTAAAAATTTAAAACTAATATTTTACTCACTACTACATGCAGAATATATAATTTTGCATAAAATGTACTTCCATCTAATGTAGTAAAACATAACCATTGAGTTAATGTATGATATATAGTAAATTGATTTTATATTATGTTTAAAATATTTTTAAAGCATCAAAATAATTCCATATTGGGATGGAACTGGCAATCTAATGAGAGGCTGTGCTCTCAAGGGCATTTTGTATAATCTCTACAATGACAGTATATCATTCTTTGGAAGATTGAAATGTTGCAGAAGTGACCAATGGTTCATACAATTGAAATGTATTTTTACTCAATACCTGCCTTCCCTTTTTAGAACACAACTAACATGTTACTGACATTTTACTAGACTGATCACCTTTTAAAAAACTAAAAATATTTCTTGAGAAATTGCTTTAATAAACTAAGGAAGTAAGGATGAACAGTGAGAAGAGTTTAGAAATACATCCTTATTACTAGGGAGCAGATTATATTGTAGTATGTAAGAAAGCTATGAAATACCAAACATTTCTCACAGTTGATAACTTGATTTCACTGACAAGTGAATTTATATTACACCTTCTTTGTTTTCTAAAGCTTTAAACTTTGGGATTTAAAGGTCATGACTTTTGACTACATTTTAAAAGATGTATATTATTTTTAGTAAGCCAGTCTTAGCATTAATGGCTAAAAGAGCCATTTAAATGACTAAAAACTCAGTCTGTCAGCCATTACTTGTTTTTCAGCAAGAGCATTGAATACAGTATTAGCTGGAATACCTATGGAAACTCACCAGTTGCCTTAGGATGTTTGTGGTTAGCATTATTCTCTTACAGGCGTTGTTGCTTTGATAGTAATGGTGCCTTTTTGAATCAAAACCCTACTTTAAAATATATGAATACTAGAACTGTAGAAAACAAGTAGATGACATATAAACAGGATTTAAAATCTCATCTGCTTAATCTAAGTGATTTAACAGTGGTGCCCTTAGAAAATATTTAATACCTTCAAATGTTTCTCTTTTTATTTTCTAATTTCTAAAAATGGTGCTTTGTGTTCACTAAATTGCATATGCCCATTATAATAATTAAATATAAAATACACTTTCATTGTGTATCTTTCTGTCTAGAAAGTAGCACATTATTATAGTGCTTCCTAGTAGTCAATTAAAGTTGCCTACTAGAGAAATAGACTAATTCTAATATATTCACAGAATGAGCACCTTACTGATATCACCAAACTATTTTATACATTAAGTGTAGCAACTGATAGAGTTTAGTCTTAAGTCTATTAAATTATTGAATATTATATCCATAATTACTGTCTTATTAAGAACTGAAACGTCTGCTTCAAAATTATTCTGAGTCCTTGAACATTTCATAATTTTACATGTTTTCCAAGCAGTTAACCATACTTAACTAATCTTTGTGCTTTTTTTTTTCCTTTACCATGCTTACAGAAAATTCAGGTCTACAGGGAGTGGATTATGACTCACAGTAGCAGTAGAGATGATGATGATGATGATGATGATGATTAGTCAGATGTTAAAATTCATGTTCTTTGTCATTTTATTTAAAATGTTTCATTAACATGTTTTGTATGACTGCTACCGTAATACCCATATGCCCATTTTTAGGGAGTTAAAATGCTTTTTATTTTTAAATGTTTTTCTAGCACATTTTTGAAAAGCAAAATAATTGCATTATTTAAGCAGAGAAAAATGTATCTTACATCCATAATAGGGCATACTATATACCATAGCTTTTTCTTGTATATGTTTTGTAGTTTTGTAATATATAGTTTGTCTCTTAGATTTAAAGTTAGACTTAAATTTTTTTGGTAATGTTCACTAGCTTTATCTTATTTTAAATTACCTGCTTATTTATTAGCAAAATGCTATTTTTAATGTTTTCTGTAAATTTTCTGGGCTGTAATGTAATGCCACTGTGTTAAAAGAAAGAAAAGAGAAAAATAGTAATAGCCAGTAAATATTTTATATTAGCATTTTAAAAGTATTTTTGTCAAATTTCTTTTAATAATAATAAACTTATAACTCAAAGCAATATGAATTTGTTGTTCTATTCCAAAATCATACATGTTGATCTACTATTATAAGGAATGAACTACTATTATAAGAAACATTTATGATTTGTCATGGAAGTGAAAATTTATATTCTGGGAATGAAAAAAAATGGTTTTGTTGGTTTACTTTTATTTCATTATATATATATGTATATATATATAATATATATACATATATATATTTTTTTCCTTCCCCCTCATGGCGGCTGCTGGCCACTCATGCTGGCTGCTGGCTGCATACGGTAGCCCATGGCAACCCACTGCAGCAGGGGCTGCAGCCTACGCCGTCGCCGGCGACTCACGACAACCCAGCTCCAGGTTGAGCTGTTGTTCAGCATCTTAGCTGTAGAGGGCAGTGTCACTGGCCCTCATGTGGGATCCCAACTGGGGCCCTCTGGCGTCCCAAGCCAGCTCTTAACCAGCGCACCACACAGCCAGCCCTATATATATATTTTTTGTGAAACAATGAGCAAAGTTGGTTTTACAGTCATTATATTTATTTATTAAATTACATATCCATGTACTATATCCCTATGATAAAATGTTACAAATTAATTCAGGACATAGAAGCATTTTTATAGTAAGCGTAATTTTTCTTCGCAATATTGGGAATATGTTATCTATGTCTCTATGAGCTAATCTGTTTTATGTTTTGTGTATTGAAGGTTTTTGTTTTAATTTCAATTTAGTGAAATTGTCTTGTCCTAGTTCCCTAGCATATCTGATGAACTATATATTTAAAAAAATAACTCTTAAAAAGTGAATGACTGTTAGTAGTATGTTTAATCCCGTATGACTGCTGTGCTTTTGGATCAACAGAGGAACATTTACCTTGGTTTATGTTAACCACTTTGTTCATATTGGGCTTACATTAGATTGTAGTAAAGAGTTTTAATTGTTCAACTTTTGGCTTAACTGATTCAGCTCATGATGTCTGAGTCTCTTCTAATTCTTAAGTTCATCAAGATTTTATTCCTATAAATCACTGTTTTCTATTTCTTAGAAAGTGACAGTTATAAATTTTTAATATTGAGCAGAAAAAGCTAAAAAATTATCAGCTCTTGAAATAACTACCTGCCTAGCATTCATTCGCATTGTCTAGAGATCAAGATCACGTGTACTAAGACTAAGAAATGTGTGAATGTCAAAGAATTTAATTATTGTTTTCATCAAAATAATTTTCTTATATTTTTTGGAATAAGTAAATGAAAAGAGTGTCCATTAAAATAGTCATTACTGGTACCAGAGACAACTTGTATTTGTCATGCACCCACTGCTCTCTCTTGGCTAAAGTCAAACAAAGCTTGCTGGTTCTACTAGAAACTATAAAGAATACAGCTTATTATGTATTGTGTATGCCTGAGGAAGGAAGAGTCTGGAAATGTCTTCTTTGGTTTCTTATGTTCCAACTTTGCTAGGCACAAGGCCTTTTAAAAAGGGAAAATGCTAAACTACTTGTTTGTAAGACATTTACTGAATTTCCTATGGTTGGTCTGTGACACTTTATTCTATAGTACAGGTTTCATAAAGATCCTTAAGAATTTATCTGGAAATGTTCTGGATATTTCAGCAGTGACTTACCATTTTAATGAAAAGAAAATTGAAAGTAGAATTATATTTATTTAAAATCTCTTGAACAGGAAAAAGATTTAAAACAATATACTAGTAACTAGTAAACTTTGTTCTTGTGGTCCTAAGTATTCATCATTCTTAAGTGTTTAGCTCTGAGAAGTGAAATATGTTTTTTTGACAGTGTAATTCCCCTTGTTCTTTCTGTTTCTGTTTTCCTATCACAGAGACATAGTCTTTTCTAGCTTCTTTGACCACAGGTATTATTTTTCCAGTTTTTAAAAAAATATTATGTTCCTATTATTAGAGAAATATTTC